AAATTAGAGTTTTAAATTAAATCAAATATAATATATTGTTTATTAAATAATTTAAATAATTTGATCAAATTAGGTTAGATTAGGTCAGATTGGGTTAAATGATAATTTAAATCAGGTCAGATTTTGTTTGACCTGACCTGGTTCTTTCAATTCAGGTAACTTGATTGACCTGACCCAAACTGACCTGTTCAGAGCTCTAATCTAAACAAATGCATCTTTTTTGTTAATTACGATTAATGATGTTCTCGAGTTTTTTAACATCTTTATACCAGCTGGTGCTATAAAACTGATGCTGGGCCCTCTGCACTTCTAATAAAATTTGGCATTTTTGGAAGAACGTATCAAACTCTAATCATTCAAGAAAGGAAGGTGATATATGATAATAGATTCCTCATTAAGAATTTTCTTAGCTATCTGAATACATCTAATCTAGAATTTACGATTTTTCTTAGTCTCTCTTTCTACCTGACCCTGTTCTAGTTTTAAAATTCTAGCCTCTTTTTCTGCTTGATTCTGCTCTAGTTTTAAAATTCAAGCCTAACTTTCTCATCAGTTTTTTTAACCTCAAGCTCAGTAATCAATACCTCAAGATCAGATAACATGATAGATGATATTTTTATATATAAAAGAATTATTTAATATTACATGGCAAATGTAAAACCGCTATATTAACATATGCAAAAAATAAATACAAAATCAGGACATTGCCAATGATACATGACATCTAGACTATTATATATAATTATTTTTTCGATACTTTTCAGCAAGAATTTTATTAAATATCTTTTGCATATTTTAGGTGATCAGATTTAGAATATCACAGTCTTTTTACTCACGTAATTTAAAAAAAAGAATAATCTATACGATAATTAGGCAGTCTATGCGAATATGTGATTTCACTTAATAATTCTCCTAGGCAGTTATCAGAGAAATAATAAAACTCATCATTAGGGAGGTTTTTCTTTTGTATTCTCTGTCATGATAATAATAACCTCTATCTTGATCACTATATTCATTATATCTACTATATCCATTATCATCCAAATTGCCTTCGAGATCACATGCTTTGGGATCTCTTTATTCGTTTCTTTTATCAACTGGGATGTGAAATCAACTTCCTTATCAAAATACATACAATCATTTGCATAATCTTTCAAGAACATTTTGTAGTAATTGTCCTCAGCTTCAAGCAAATTACTTGGGCTGACTTCTTTAGAATCATCAAAAGAATTTTGGTCAGTACCTCTGGCTGAAATCTCAGTCATGTGACTTGATACTTCTTCCACATCAGTGTTATCGTTATCATTATGCTCAAAGAAATTATTTATGATATCTTGAACTTTATCATTAGTCAACTCAGAAATAGAATTCGTATTATATGTCGTAATATACTTAATATTCTCTACGCCTACCTTTTCAAATAATTTATATATTTTTACAGCTTTCTAAGTTTTTTTTGTAAGTTTTTACAGAAGATTTCTGGAAGATGCAATCCTGTCCTTTCAAATTGTTGCTTTCACAACATGGATAGATATTCTAATATTTTATCATAGACTATCCCCTTTGCCTTTTTTTCACCTATTTTACCTTTACCATTTTATACAATCACACTAACCTGATTTAAAAATTCTTTTTCATAATAATACTAATGTAAATCTCTTCCTGATTAGTATGAATTGCGCCATATTCAGCATCATCTGCTTTATCAAATAATTGAGCTAGAGAAAGCAATAGATCTGTAGATGAATTTTAGCTAGAGTTTTCAGCTGAAATCACATCGCAAAGAATGGCTTTGTTACTTGATTAGGCATTTTTATTAATACCAATAGCTATCGATTGTATGATATTTTCTGCACCTTTCTTCCTATAGCTATTTTGACAAGGACCTTCAGCTAAAATTTCAGTTACTAAATTTAATACTTCTGATATGATCCCTTTAGGATCAGAAGTGCGATTTTCTATAGTTAATCTGATATCAGATTCTTGTTTTTGGTTAGAGAATGCTTTGCTAAGTTTCTTTTTCTGATTTCTCTATCTAATCTCATTATTAACCATTTTCTTATGCATCTCATTCAAGAAAGCATCCGTTTCCTTATCTTCAGATAATAAAGTATTCACTAATAGTTTCTCGTAATGTATTACCATTAGTGTCTGATCTGCAACTGAATTGAAGTTAGATGAACAGATATTAGAAGAATTATCATTTAGTATCTGCTTTTATTCTACTTTCATAAGTCTATCTCTAACTTCAATATTCTCAGATTTCAGCTTCTCAATTCTGACCCTAAGTTTAATATTTTCAGCATCACGCCTTTTATTATATTCTTCATTTACTCTTAAAATTCGTTATTCTTACGCTTAAGTTCAGCTATTTCAATATCAGATACTGAGAACTTTTTTCTAAGATTAGGTATTTTGGCATTCCCAGTCTCAAGTTCAGTGATACACTATTTCAATACTTCATGCTCAGATGACATAATCTATATGTATAACTAATACACTGTATATAAGTATCCAAAATAAAAAAATATGTATTTTTGGTCAAAAGTCCTGGCTGAAATTTGCCAAGAAAATTTTTTATTATTATATGCGAAAAATAAATACAAATGTTCAAAACTTTGCTTGTAATACATGACTAAATTTTATCTTATAACCTACACGTAAAATCATTCCTTAATAAATTTTTTTGTCCTTACTCTCTTACTATCTGAAGAATCATCAACTTTGACCCTATCCTTCAATAAGCCAACGATTACCTCCATGACCTTTTTAATATCACAGCAAAGTTCATCATCTTTCATTATTTTCTCATTAAGTACTACAGTTAACTCTTGATATAGCGAACTCTTGATATAACGAATTTTTTAAACAAATATAATAAAAATACTCTTGTTATAGCGAATTGGCCAATCAAATCTCTTAAAATCTTCACTATAGCCTTATAGTGAAGTTGAGGTCTAGAACGTAAGGTTCGTTATAACAAGAGTTGACTGTATATGATAGTTATCTTTCGAGCAATAGATCCTTTCTAGTATATACATGAAAAAATACCAATTTGAGGCTAAATAAAGAAAGACATAAGTTAGTATATACAAATAATTGATAAAAAAAATCACATGCTATAGTACCGGCTAAGCTCTACCTGTGATCACAATTTCATAGAAATAGTCAAACTTATCATCAAATACTACAGATACTTTTCTTTTTCTCGTGTTTGTATGATAAGAGCTTTCAAGTTGCATTATGTTCCGCATGAATCTCGCTACCAAATTTTTTTATTTTCTCTCTATTATAGCTATTAACTTCTCAATGATGACATCTATGACTTTTTTAATATGTAATTGATTCAATTAGAAGCTTCTTTGCCTATAACTTCAAACTGGAGGTCTATGATAATTCCTTTCTTAGTGATTCTTTTAGCGATATAGATGGATGTATATAATATTGGAAAAATATACTTGTAATGTGTAACCTTATTTTTACTAGTTGCCAAACTTATAGTTTCTATCCTACGTTTTATCTCTGTTATATACTATTCTAGCTTTTCATCTTTATCGTTAATTTCTACAGGTTCTGATTCAAAGGACAGAATTTTTATTATTTCATTACTATTGATCTTATACTTGTGCAATACTTCATTCAACTTTTTCTTAGTCTTATATGAGAAGAATGGTCTCAACTTTTTCTTTTTACACTTCTTGGTAAACTCAACAAGCTTTACGGTAGATCCTAAATTTAAGCCAATACTACAAAACTCACCTTTAGTTAACTTGAGAAATGCATAGCTGTTAATCTCCTTTTCTAAAATTTTGATAGCAGTCTTACTAAGTTCTAAGTCCTACTTCTGCAAAAAAGAAATAAGTTTTTCTATGCCAATTTTTTTATTTTGTCTGCCAATGAAACCGTCTCATTTCTAGCAACAGAGATAGAGGTGAAAGCTGGAGTATAAAGTATACTGGTTTCAGAAGACATAGTATTACATTTTTATAGTGATATTAGAACTTGGATAAAAAATAGTGTTATATTCTGGAGTGAGATAAAATTTTATTTCTATTCAAAAAAGAGAATACTGAATATTAATATAGAATTTTATATAGCACAGGCATTGCATAGTCCCTTTAAGACTGCATCATCATACGTGACTCACTTTCTCAATGTACTGGTAAAATAATACTTTATTTATAAAATAAATCATTGCTGAAAGGGTCCCAGAGGGATTAAACTAACATAAATACATAAATTTGCGACTATAGCATTATATGATACGAATAAAAATACTATTTATTCTTGAATTTTATGGAAATATGAACTTGATCCTAAATAAGAGGCTTATCAAAATACTTAGAGATCTCTTTAGTTAATTCCATGAGTTTATCTTCAATATAGAGGTCAAAGTTGAGGGAGAGAGCTTGGTAACCTTGATTTGATAATAAAGTTTTAACAAAAGATTTGAGAATGGAAACCTTATCTTCTTTGCAAAGTTCAATTACAAAATTTTTTTCATCCTGCCTATTTTGAAAATCACACTTAAGTTTGATAGGATTTGTATTGGCTATTTGTTTTTGTTATCTATAGTTAACAAGCCTATAGTGAGAAAAACTCACTCCTATATATACATAATTTAGAACATATACATACCTAATTTTGTATTATTTTCTCTGGAAAAGTTTTTTGCCGAAAGTTGGCTGAACTTCCACATATCCCTACATATTTTATATCTTGCTAAAAAAAAGTTAAGAAGATATAAGGGAGACAGTGATTAGAATTGTTGTATAATACCAAAACTTCTTTAAAGGCATATGCAAATGGAATTTTCTTACCTTTTTATATAGAGAGATCTTAAAGGGATCAGATCTACCTGCGAGATGCAAAGGTAGTTAGGGGAAGGCCAGAAATGATGTCATTTAAAATTTAGACAATTTGATTTTTTGATTTCATATTCAAATTCAGATCAAACTGGAACTACACCAAAATTATATGTACAGAACAGATCCACTTTTGGATTTTTGGGAAGCATAATTTTGGCAATTTTTGTAATTTATTTGAGATGTAATACATATTTTTATTTTTTGCAAAATAATATAATAATAAATATAAATATGTAAATTTAATTATAATAAATTATTTATCAAATTTTATCTGATATCACAGTCCTAGTTTAATAAAAAATCTGATTTCTCAAATCATAAAATTGATTTATCAGTTTTAAATTTTGAACTAATTCTAGATTACTAATTGTAAAGCCCGATTAATAGTTAATCAATATTACTACTTTATTATATATTGTAAGAAAAAAAACAAAATGAAAAGTTTAATTAACTAAACTAAAGTTTAACTATTGTGAAATTAATTAAAGTTATGTGAAAAAAAAAGATTGTCTGTTAAGACTGTTTCAAATTTATTTAAAAAATTACATTATAACTAATATTAATTATTAATTTTGAACGTTAGATGGTCTTGTATCTATGATTTCTTTTTTAAGTTTTGCTGTTGTGAATTCCTTTCTTTCCTCTTCTTTACAACTTTTTCTTATTAGAATAATTTGCTTTGTGAATCATCATTTCTTATATGATTCGTATTTTCTTTTATACAAGTACTTTTTATATGTTCTATACTGAATTCATCATCTTGTAGATATACAGATTTTTCAATCTTCGCATTTGTTACTTTCTTTTTTGAATGGATTATAATATGTTGCTTTAAAAATGCTTTTGATGGAAAATATTTATAGCATTTTTGGCATATAAGATTATTATACAAATCTGGGATAATGCTAGAATAATGTTTGTCATAGCCTGGTAGCTTTTCAAAATATTCCAAAGTATGAATTAGACTAGAAAATGACCATCAAGGTCTTGTACAATGAGTGATAAAAAACCATTATTTGCAGATAAAAGATCATAAATTTTGGGAGCACGTGGTTATTCACAATAATTTCAATCTTTACATTTCTTTAAATTAAGAGAATATTTGCAGATTTGGCTATGCCTATCGATCTAATTCCATGATTTTTCATTTATATTTAAAAAATCTGATCAGTTGTGCTCCTCGATATATATAGTAATAACTGGGTAACCGTTTATATTGTTATGCCCTCAAAGTTCATAAAGACGCTTATCTGCATATTTAAAGTTACAGTGTTTAAGTTTCTCATTCATAATAGTTACTTTTTTATTAATACTTTTGAGATGTTTACCATATGCAAATATGTTTAACACAATTTCCGCTAACTTTTCAGAAAGTGATGTCAACCGGATTATATGCA